CAGCCGGCTCGGCTCAGGGTCGGGGCCGCAGGCCCGCCGCCCCCTGCCCGACGCCGCCGGCGCCTGGCCCGCACGGACCTGCCCGCCGCCCGTCGCCCTCCCGCGCCGGGGGTGGCGGGCGGTGGAGGCTGAGGAAGGGCAGCAATGGCGGCGGCTCCCCCTCGGGGTTGAGCCGCCCCTCCCGCCCGCGCTGGCCCCTCGCGGCGGCCGGCCGCTGGGCGCCTCCGGCGCGAGCCACCTGATGCTCGAAGTGGCGGACGCGGTGCTGACCGCCCCCTCCCTGCCCGCGGCGGCGCTCGTGGCGGCGCGTGGCTTTGGAGACGGCCCGATGGCGCGGCAGATCAAGGCCAAGCGCTTCGTCTCGAGGCGCCGTGCTGCGACGCGCGCCGCGCGCCGCCCGCGCCGCCTGCTGGGCGGGATCGTGTGCCTGGAGGCGCTGCTGGACGCCTTCTTCGAGCGCTGGCTGCTGCTCGCGCTGGCACCGCCCCGGGTCAAGGACCTCGAGGGCGGCAAGAATTGGGTGCACGGCGAGGAGTTGCTGCTCCTCGGGGTCCTCTGAGGAGGCCCGTGGCCGGGGGCCTTGTCCGAGGGACGGGCCCCCGCGGTGGTCGGGGGGCCCACCCAGCGAGGGGGCCCCCCGCGGCGGGAGGGTCGGCACCGGCTCCTCCTGAGGCTCGCGGATCCTCCTCCTCCTCCTCCTCCCCCTCCCCTCCCCCTCCCCCTTCCCCTCTTCCTCCTGCTCCCCCTCACTCCTCCCTCCTCCCGCCTCCTCCTCCTCCTCCTACTCCTCCTTCCTCTCCTCCTCCGCCTCCTCCTCCTCGCCCTCCTCTCCTCCTCTTCCTCCGCCCCCCCCCCTCGCCCCCCTCCTCCTCCTCTCCTCCTCTCTCCTCCTCCTCCTCCTCCTCCTCCTCCTCCTCCTCCTGCCTCCTCCTCCCTCCTCCTCCTCCCTCCTCCTCCTCCCCCTCCTACTCCTCCCCCTCCCCTCCTCCTCCTCCCGTCCTGTCCTCCTCCTTCTCCTCCTCCCCTTTCCGTCCTCGTACCTCCTCCTCCTCCTCCTCCCTCCTCCTCCTTCCCTCCCCTCCTCCTCCTCCTCCTCCTCCTTCCTCCTCCTCCTCCTCCTCCTCGCCTCCCCTTCCTCCCCCTCCTCCTCCTCCCCTCCTCCTCCTCCTCCTCCTCCTCCTCCTCTTATTGTTCTTAAAAAAACTTAATAAAAATTAAATAAAATTAAAAAAAGAAAAAAAAAAAAAAAAAAAAAAAAAAAAAGAAAAAAAAATTAAAAAAAAAAAAATAAATACAGAAAAATAAAAAATTCTTGAAAAAAAAAAAACTTAAAAAAAAAAGAAAAAAAAAAACTAAAAAAAAAAAGAAAATTAATAAAAAAACAAAACAATAAAAGAAAAAAATATTACAATAAAAAAAAAAAAAAAACTCCTCCTCCTCCTCCTCCTCCTCCTCCTCCTCCTCCTCCTCCTCCTCCTCTTATTGTTCTTAGCGTTCGTATTCGTAGTATCATTTCTTTCCGTTGTATTATATTAGTATGTCCTTATTCTCAGTTCTATTAATAGTCGCATTCGTGTTCGTACGATTCGTCTGGTATTATGATTCGTGTTATTCTGTGATAGGATTATTCTTATTAGGACTTACCATTCGTCTGTTATGCTTCGTATGATTATTCGTATTCGTCGTCTTCGCCTTATTATTATTATTCGTCTTATTGCCAGTATTCGTCTTATGCTGCTTACTATTAGTGTTCGTCTTATTCTTTTCTTAGTACTAGGATGATTGTTAGTATGATGTTTCTTATTCGTCTTAGTCGTCTTCTTCCTCTTCTTACGATTCGTCATAGCATTGGTATCAATATGACTAGTATTCGTTTTTGTCTTCTTATGCTTATCCGGATTATTCGTAGTATGATTATTCTTCTTCGGCTTTTTCTTAATTTTATGTTTGGTCTTCTTCCTCCTCCTCCTGCGACCCACCGGCCCGCGACCAACCTGCGATCCATCCCGCGACCCGCCCGCGACCCGTCC